CCAGAGGGCCCCGGTTCGGATCCCACATATGAGGGCCAGTGACACTGCCCTCTATAGCTAAGATGCTGAACAACAGCTCAACCTGGAGCTGGGCTGCCATGAGTAGCCAGCAGCCAGCGTGAGCGGCCAGCAGCCACTGTGAGCTGCCGTCCAGAAGCCAGCGACTGATCTGCCTCGCCCCGGGAACAGCGCAATGATGGTGCCAACTTGAGCAGGTGAAGCAACGTCCTCCACAACTAGACTGAAGAACAAAACGGCAGCAACTTGTCTGTTCCCCTTCCCCCGATTCCCCAGCACTGTTCCCCTCCCCCGATTCCCCAATAAAATCTTAAAAAAAAAAAAAAGTTTTTGCTGTGATTTTAACAGAAATTGCATTAACCCAGTACAATAATTTGGGGAAAAGTGACATCTTTACTATGTTGAATTTTCTAATCCATGAACATGGTATGTCTTTCCATTTATTTAGATCTACTTTGATTTCTCTCATCAGGATTTTGTAGTTTTCATAAAAGTCCTATAAATATTTTGTTAGGTTTAAACCTACATCTTTGTTTGCTTATCTTTTAGGGATTGTATTGTATTTTTAATTTTGATATCCACGTGTTCGTTGATAGTTTGCAAATATAAAACTAATTTTTGTGTTTATTTTGAATTGTGCAAGCTTGCTAACTTCACTTATTAATTCCAGTTTGTTTTTGTTTTTGTAGATTCCTTGGGATTTTCTACATTTTTGCAACTTCTTATGGGTAATTATTTCAAAATAAAAAAGCTGTAAATATATGTGGCATAGAGCTAAACCAGTGCTTAAAGGAAAATTTATAGGTCTAAATGCTAATAGCAGCAAAGAAAAAAAAAATCAATTAGCTTTTACTTAAAGCTAATTAGAAAAAGAACAGCCAAGTATATCCAAAATAAGTAGAAGGAAAATAATAAAGAATCACTAAAATAATAATAAATAAATAAATAAATCACTAAAAGGACAAAAAAAATAAAGAAAATCTTTACTTTGAAAATACAATCTATATATATATTTGAAGTCAATAAAATGTATTAACCACTAGCTAGATTGATCAAGAAAAGAGAAAAAATACAAGTTACAAATCTCCATAGTAAAAAAAGAGACATCATTATAAATCATACAATAATGAAAAGGGTAACAACGATCAATATAAAAGAGAAACTCTATGTCACTGAACACGATAACAAAAAATCAATACCTTACAAAACACAAATAACTAAAACTGAGTCAGGACACAAAAATCTGAAAAGCTTTAAAAAGCTAAATTTTTAATTTTAAATCTTCCCACAAAAAAACTTGGGGCCTGGATGAATTCTATCAAAAATTTAAGAAAAACATAATGCAATCTGACACAAATTCTTTCAGGAAATAGAGTAGGGAACACTGCCCAGTACATTTAATGAGGCCAGCTTTATTCCATCACAAAACCAAACAAGGATACTACAAGGAGAAACTACTGAAGAACTTCCCTCATGATCCTAGATATAAATAAAAGTCCTTTCAAAAGTATCAGGAACTCAAACTCAGGAAGATAGATAGAAGACAGGTAGGCACAGGTAGGCAGGCAGACAGACAGATGGATGGATAGGTAAGTAGATAAAAACATCCTTCAGGGCCAAGCAGAGTTCAACCTGAGTGCAAGATTGGTTTCGCATTCAAGTCAATAAATGCAATTCAAAATATTAACAGAACAAAGGAAAAATAACCTCTGGTTATCTCAATAAATACAGGAAAAGCAGTTGACAAAATTCAGGACACATGCATGATAAAAAAAAATTTTATTTAAAAAACTAAAAAAAGAAGGAAATTTCCTCAAACTGATAAAGGGATCTATGAAACACCTACAGTTAACATCACAAGTAATGGTGAATGACTGAATGCCTTCCCCACAAGATAAAGAACAGGGCAGCAAGACTCAGTCTCCCACTTCTATTCAATAGTATACTGGAGATTCTAAACAACAAGGTGGAAAACATTTTTAAAAGGCATACATATTGGAAAGGAGTAAAACTTTTTATTTGCAGACGACAAGATCATAGGGGGAAAGATTATTAAAACTAATAAGAGACGTCAGCTAAACTGAGGATACAAGTTCAATATACAAAAACTATGCTAGCCAACTGTTAGAAATGAAAAATCTTTTAAAACTACTATTTATAACAGCATCCAAAAACATGAAACATTTGATGGGATAGATTTAACCAAGTATGTCCAAGATTTGCATCCTTGAAGTAAACCTCAAGACACTGCCTTTTCCAAGCACAAAGATTTCCTGATGTGATGATGAAATCAGGTTCTTCTGTGGGAAAGGCCCCAGGTCACCTAAGGGCAGGGCTAGTCACCAGGGGAACCATGCCTGTGATTAGCGTGTTGGACCTGTCAGTCCCACCCCCAGACCTCTGGCGAAGGGAGCGGGGTGGAGTTTTCAGTTCAATCACCAATAGCCAATGATGTAATCAATCCGCTAGGTAACACAACCTCCCTCAGAACCCAAAGGGACTGGCTTTGTGGGGCTTCCATGCTGGTGAATACCTGGAGAGTCAGGGAGACTGGTGCACCCAGAGAGCACGAAAGCTTCAAGCCCCTTTCCACACCCCTCGCCCTGTGCATCTCTTCCATCTGGCTGCTCACCAACGTCCTCTATATTCTCCTCTCTGATAAACTGGTAAACATAAGTAAATGTTTCTCCGAGTTCTGTGAGCACTCCAGCAAAGTGAACCCAAAGAGGGGGGCCATGGGACCATCCAGTTTATAGGCAGTCTGTCAGAAGCACAGGTGACCACCTGGACTTGCAGCTGGCGTCTGAATGGGGGCGGGGGCATCTTGTGGGACTGAGCCCTCAGCCTGTGGGAACTCCAGGAAGCTGGTATCAGAACCCAGACCCTACAAGTATCGGAGAATTGCTTGGTATGTGGGGAAAAACACACATTATCAGTAAAATGCACACTAAAACCACAATACAGTACTACCACACAACCTCCAGAAAGGCAAACGTGAAAAAGACAGAAACCAGCAAGTGCTGGCGACAATTGGAGGAACTGAATTCTCGTGCATTTGTTGGTTAATTTGCAAACTGGGTCAACCACATTGAAAAACTGTCTGGCAACTGCCTACTTAAAGGAAGCATACACCAAGCCTGTGACACTACAATTCGTCCCTGGGCATATGTGGAGAAATGTGTGTACATGTCAGCTAGAAGACACCAAGGGTCCAAAGTCAGAGCGGCTTCATCGGAGTAGCCCCGAACTGGAAACAGCCCATGTGCCCATGTGGGGGAGAACAGCTGGACCAACAGGCACCTTGGGCAACATATGCATGCACGTTGGAACACGACCAGCCATGTGGGCTGTAAAGAAAACAGGGAAAGGAAAGGACTGTAACCCTGCCCGTTGGGCCGTGGCGGGCCACGCCACAGGAAGGAAAAGCCAGAAGCAGGAAGTTCTTTCAGAGGGAAGAGGAAGGGAAAGGGAAGGGCTGCTGTGCCCATGGAGCTCTCCGGTACACCAGGGCTCTTCCTGCAGCGCTCTGGAGCCCCCACAGGCTGAGCACTCCCCCCACAGGCCCTCCCGAGGCCTGTCTTGGTTAAGGTCACTGTCACAGTTCTGACAGCTATAAATAAAAACTTCTCTCAGCATCTCTTTGAACTCCTGCTCTGGCACAAGCTCATTGAGAACACCCTGTCTATTGCTTTTTTTAAAACTGTTTCTCTTTATCACACTAAACACTCTAAAAATCCCTACTTGCAGTGTCTTACTAGTCAGACCGAAATGCAGCCATGCCTCATTTTTAATAAGACGTACTACTGATTTCCACGGATGACAAAGCTGTTTCCTCTGTTCTGTGGCAGCAGGGGGCAGAGAATGGACGTCATCCAGGCTCAAGACATCTTGGTCATCGTGTACCAGACACGAGAAACCCACCTCGCCTGGCCACCTTCCCCACACGCTGTCCCCCAAGCATCTTATCCTGTCGTCTCATCTAGAAGTGGAAGACAAATTTTTTTCTCTTTTACTACTCAGAAAACAGAAGTCTAGCCAATAAGAAACAACAGCTGTCATTCATTGCACACTGATAAAGGCTGACCTGAACTTGAAGCAAACGTGGTCAGTCAGAGAGTCTCGGGGAGGCGCAAGGCTTAGGGGAGCCCCGCATCTGCGTAATGGGGAGGACCCTACAGGAAGAACTCTGTAATAAAGCTCTATGGTTCTAACTTCCTTTTTCTCTTCCATAAATACCCCTCCATCTTGGCACTCAGGCCAGTGTGCTAGCCACGTCTGCATGCACTGGGTTGCAACTCTTTCTTTTTTCTGAATAAATCCTTTTTGGTGATGAAACACCTAGTCGATCGTATCTTTCAGACAACACTTACTATGTGCCAGCCCCACTGTACAGAATCCAAGGTCAAGCTGAAATGCCCGTGCTCCCCAGGCCTCCTTCCGTCCCTCTGCGGAGCTCCGCGTCCGTCCTTCCTCTGCTTTCTCGGGTGCCCGCTGTAGACACATTATGGTGTTCCTGCGTTATCCCCTCCCCTGTGGGGCTACCTGCTCCTTGGGGGCGGGGCCATCGCTCACCTGTGTTTACATCCTCAGCAGTCCCTGAGACAAGGCTTTTCAGGCAACAATGAGTTGGGTTGAATTCCTAGCATCACATCTCAGAGCCTCAGCCTGGGAAGGCTTCCTGAAGGAGAAGGGTTAGGCCTCGCCTGGTGACAGCAAGGGCCAGCACATGACGGACACAGGAAAAGAAAGAGCAATCTTGGTGAGGGCTGCGGCAGTGACAGTATTAATTCCAGTGCAGCTCCTGGCCAGGACTGGGGGAGCCGAGAGGCTGATGAGCTCATTGCCGAAGCGCTGGCAAGCATGCTGGTTACTGGCCCAGTCCCAAAAGAATGTGATGTGACATTACCCGCCGTGAAGCTGACTCAGAGAACAAATGACTAAGTTTCCCAGAATCAAGGAGAAGACGCTGGCTTGGCCATCCTTCATTCTGATGCAACCTGCGTTTAATGCGTGGTGACGGATGGTTCCGGCCCAGTCCCAGGAGCAGCTCTGAAGCGGGGGGTGTGTTCTCAGCCAGTCGTGCCTCCCGGTGGGGCGTGAGGACCACTTCGGTGCCCGTCCAATGTCCTACCAGCCGTTCAGAATCCTCTGTAAGCAATCGTCTTCACGATCAGGCTATAAAACAGGTGATTCTGTTTCTGGGAGCTGTGCTATTAAAAGACCAGCTAGAGCTCGTTACCGTCACCTGCCACAGCCCTGCACTTTACGCCACAATTCAAATATGGCCACAAACCGAGGACAATCTCCAAACACAGGGAAATCGAAGGTGTCAGAGGGTACGACATAGGCCTGGACCACCTACTCCACACCTCTGAGGGCATCAGGAAATCAGTCCCCAGGCAGGAGTGCTCCCAGCTCGCCCAAGGGCTAGCAATCCCAGTCATTTCCCACATCTCCATTATTCTTTCATTCTGGGGACTCCTGTGAGACTTAACCAGCAGGAGGTGATGATGGCACTTCACACAGGTAAGCCCAAGTTCACGCTGCCCTCCCTCCTTCCACTCAGCCCAGAGCTCAGCCACAGGCCTCTTCCTGCTGGTCACTAGCGGCGCCCTCACTGATACCCAGTTTCCAGAGAGTCACAGGCTGGCGCAGCTTGTCGTAGTGGAGACGAGAAGGTTTCTGACTTCGCTTCTACCCCCAAGGAACCGGGGCAAGACCCATGCAGGACAGTGACAGTGCTGCCCCTGCGAATGCTTGTGCTCCCAGATGGGAGACATCTCCATGCTAATTTCTCAGGAGCCTGGGATTACTAATATGCCAAGGTCAACGATGCCCTAAGGCCCTGCTGATTCCTGCCTTTGTAGGAAAGGTTCAATCATGTTTAACACATTCTAGGTAATGAGTTAGAAACCTACCCTTATGGTTTAACATGTTTTCTCAGGATGACCTGGGAACTGAAAGGGAAACACAGCTATCAGCATGCCTGCTCCCCAACAGAATTAATCATTCTTACTGCCTCTTCAAGGACGCTCTTTTTTTTTTTTCTTTTTTTTTTAAGCTGAGCCATCCTGCCACCTGTTGGCAGCTCAGCTCGGGCTGGGAATCGAACCACTGCTGCTCAGAGCTCAAACTCTTGAGCGAACTCTTAACCAACTGAGCCACTCGGCCGGCCCTCTTCAAGGACACTCTTATATGATGTTGGCTTTCGTAGGCGAGAGGGTGGCGGTGAAAGCCACAGTGACGATAGGCATGTGGGGCCAGCCCTGACGGTGCTCAGGGGCCAGCAGTGCTGCCCGCTTGCCTTTGTGTCATCAGCGCAAACACCAGTCCGGAAAGAAAGGGATGCCTCGGTAGCATCCTGAAAATATTGTGACCTCGCCTCAGGGCTCCAGGGCCCTGAAAGCCCACAGACTCCAGGGTGTACCGTGAGTGAGAGAGCTGAGGAGCAACACGTCTACCGGTCTCACTCTGAGTCCGACCACTACCGGCTCATAACCAAGAGCCCTGTGACCACGCTTCAGACGGTCCTCCCTTTCGGGGTGGAATTTAGTCCTCCGCTCAGCAGGGACTGCGACTCCTTCTAGCTCCACATTCGAGTTTGGTCCTTGGCCTAATGGGCGCTGCAGGTCCTAGCGCTGGGGCCTTACCTGCGGGTCCCCTGGTGAACCAGCAAAGCCAGGCCTGTCTGTGGGGCAAGCTCTGTCACTAGGCAGATAGGCCCAGGCAGGAGGCAGGCTGACTGACACACCACGGTGCACACTCACTGCACTGACCCCACACCCTGCTGCTCCAGCCGCTTACTGCTGGGCCTGATGGGATGGAGGCCTGAAGCCAGGCTCCCCTCAGCGAGTCCAGGAGAGCACAGGGCCCCACCTCAGCCAGGCTCTGCTCTGCAGATGGGAGAGTCTCTTGGGATCTTGCCGCAGAATGCCAGGCAGTGCGGACACTGCCATGTTCCATGGCACCCGCCGGCCCAGGAGAAGCTATGCCCATGAGATGTAGTAGTGCCCAGAGGAAGGGAAACAGAAATGACTGGTTCCGTGTGTCCAAAAGCAAAAGGCCCCTGGCAACCTCAAGAAGAACAATTTCTCAGTATGTAAACAATCTGCATCATTATTAGCTGTTTAATTAAGGAGATAATTCATCAAGTCTAGAAAACTCAGCAACAGGTCGATCAAAAGAGGTTCTGGAAGACATTAGTGAGAAACATCGTTCTATTACAAAATCTCCTGTGTTTAAAATTCCAAGAAAACTCCAACTGCCAGCCTGGGACACTAAGTATTACAGGCGATTATTCATTGTCACACTGCAGATGACTATCGGCTGCACCCTATGAAGTGCCACCACCTCAGACTGTTTCTTATGTGCGTAGAGGGTAATGATGAACAGAGTTTGGAACTCTCTGAAAAAGCACCCAGCTCAGTAACACTCACAGAGGGACATGTCACTGGCCTCTTCCTTCTGTGAGGCTGTAAGTTTCCAGCGCTGGCTTGGGTACATTACAGTAGGAGCACTTGGCCTCAAAGGATGAACTTAGTGTGCTACATAAATTATTAATCCCCAAAAGCACTTCAGGATGAAATAATAATGCCTTATCTACCAGAGAGCTTTACCATTGAGCGTGTTTGCATGTCTATCACCTCATTTCGCTTCCACAATAGCCCCCAGAGAAATACAGGCCAAGTACTCATATCCTCCTTTCTTCAAAGCAGAAACAGACTCAGAGCAAGGAATGGACCCTGGGCCCAGGTCCTGCCTGCCACCAGGCAGAGAGGATACCCTGGAGTCTTCAGTGACTGCAACGTGGGACTGAAAATGGTTTTTTTCATTGATTTTATTTATCTTCTTTATATCCCAACTTATTGCCCCCAACATTGAAGTGTTTTATTTTCCTTCTTGTAAGAAATCTGAAAAGGCTTGATTTCCCAATGTGAATAAAGCTACAAACAAGAAAGACGGACCACCAGGCCATGCCCTTGTAATGTCTGCCCAGAAAATTGCCATGAAGGCATCGCTTCGTTTCCAAGTAGGGGAGAAAGAGAAATAGAAAATGGGTCAAATAATTCCCAAGGAAAGCGTTTAGATAAAATTTTTTCCTCTTTTAAATTCTCTATCATTAAATACACATTTCAACAGAGATGAATGGATTAATTAGATGAATTAAGACAGAATGGATTCTTTGAAGAGGGGCAATGCCACAACAAAACCTTGCCAGGCAGCTGGTAATAAGGAAGCCCTATTTTATGCATTGCAAAGCATCTCCAGTGACCACCTGAAGGCAGCCCACACTCATGCCCAGCCCCCAGCTCAGGGAGAGAAGAGAAGTGGGTAACTGCAGTCTGGGTGACTGCCACCTGCTTTGCTTAACTGGGTACTACAGAAAGAGATGAGCGTAGGCCAAAACGGGCCAACTTGAGAGAGATGGGAAAGTATCTGGATACAGTCAAGAAATGTGGGGCTCACCTAGTGGGAAAAGCCACTCCTCTGCACCCCAAGACAATGATAGAAAGTTGAAAACGTTGTGAGGAGCAAAAGCCCATGAAGACCCCTCAATGGAAGAGAGGATGCAGCTGTATACACAGATTAGATAACAGGGGTTCTCTCCCACCAGTGCCATGCGTTCAGATACCCTGAACAGAAAGACAGAGACAATCATCCTAGGTCTCATATTACTCCTCAAAATAATTCTGCAAATACAATGTCTAGCACCATGATCAAGAAACCGTAGAAATCACAGGAAACAAAAACAGATCCACAAAGACATGAGAAGTTAGAATTACTCAACACAGACTATCAAAGAAACTACACTTGCAATAACATGAAACAAAAAACCCCATTTAAAAAAATGGCCCAAAGGTTTAAATAGACATTTCTCTAAAGTATATACCAATGGTCAACAAACACATAAAAAAATGCTCAACATTACTAATCATAAAAGAGATGCTAATCAAAATCACAATAAAATATCACTTCATATCCATTAGCATGGCTAGTATCAAAGAAACAGAAAAATAATAAGTGTTGGCGAGGACGTGGAGAAACGGGAATCTGTGTACACTGTTGGTGGGAATATAAAATGGTGCCACTGCAGTGGAAAACTGTATGGTGGTTCCTCAAAAAATTAAACACAGAATTGCCATATGAGCCAACAATTCTACTTCTGGGTATATGACCCAAGAAAGTGAAAGCAGGGACTCAAACAGATATTTGTACACCCATATTCAAAGCAGCGTTATTCACTACAGCCAAATGGTAGAAGCACCCCAAGTGTCCATGGACAGATGAATGCGTAAACAGAATGTGGTCTGTACGCAGGGGAATATTATTCAGACTTAAAAAGGAAGGAAATTCAGATACACCTACAACATTATGAGGACATTATGCTCAGTGAAATAAGCCAGTCACAGAAGGACAGATACTATATGATTCCACTTATAAGAGTTACCTAGAGTCTTCATATTCATACAGACAGAAAGTAGATGTTGGGTGTCAGGGGATTGAGGGAGGGGATTACTGTTTAATGGGGACAGTTTCAATCAGCAAGATAAAAAAGCTCTGAAGATGACTGGTGGTGATGGTTGCCCCATGTGAATGTACTTAATACCAATGAACTGTACACTTAAAATGGTGAAGTCTATTTTATATACATTTCACCACAATAAGAAACACTATGTTCTGTGGAAAAGAGTATGGCAGTTCCTCAAAAAATTAAATATAAAATACCATATGATCCAGCAATTCCACTTCTGGGTATATACCCAAAAGAGCTGAAAATAGGGTCTTGAAGAAATATTTGTACATCCATGTTCATAGCGGCATTATTCACAAGGGCTAAAATGTGGAAGCAGCCCAAGTTCCACTGATGGATGAATAAATAAAATGAGCAAACATGGTATAACCACACAATGGAGCATTATTCGGCCTTAAAAAGGAAGAAAATTCTGACACATATTACAACA